TTTAAAAGCCACTGCTTTAAAAACTAAAAACTCATGGCCAGGCATGGTGGTGTACACCTGTAATCCCAGCACTTAGGAGGCTGAGGCAGGAGGATTCAAGACCAGCCTGGGCTATAGTGAGTTCCATGTCAGTCTCAACTACATAGTGAGACCCTGTCTCAAAAAAAAACAAACAAAACAAACAAAACAAAACAACAACAAAAAAACACCTGTTCTGGACATTGTATATAAAAATAAAAATTCATTTCAGGAACTTTGACAATAATAATCACATGAGGTAGGTGTTACTAGTGCTCCTATTTCTGCAAAAGAGGAAACAGGCTCAGTAACTTTCTAAGGTCAGGACAAGAACTCAGAGTGTCCACTTTTAGCTCATATGCCATGGTACTTTGGTGACTTAGGTGGCTGCTCATGATCCTATGCTATTAAGAGTATAAATGAATACACCTGTAATTTGTGTAATACACCTAAACTGCGTAATTTTACTTTGGGGAATAATTCATTTCTTTGTCTTTTCCATCCTGGGGCTGCCCCCATCCCTTGGCCTGTAGGCCCCCTGCCTCAGGAAGCAGTAAGTCCTTTTCACGCGGCCATCTCTTGCTCTTCTGACTGCCTCTTCCACTATCAAAGGACCTGCACTTACATAGGACCCAGGCAACACAGGAAAATTTCCCCATCTTGAGATCAGCTAGTCAGCTACTCTAACCTTAATTCATCTTGTTGTGTAACCGGACAGATTCACAAGTCCTGGGGGTTAGGGCATGGATGTCCTTGAGAGGGCATTATTTCACTTTCAAAGCAATCAGGACGAGGAAATATTCATATTTAAGACCAGAGAGTTTAGAAAAGTGCTGGGTGTATGGGTAGAAATGCCTGTCAAGTTACTGAGAGAGCCTACAGGGAATGGAGCCATATCTGGAAAAGGTGCTCTAGGAGACGTAGAGGAGAGAGGGCTAGAATAGGTAGGACCCTGTAGGCATCCAGATGATCTAAGTAGAGGAGCAAGATGGCCCCAAATTCCTAAATTTCAACTCCCAGCTCCCAGAAGCCATCAACAACCTTCACTCACCAATCCTCACAGCTCATGTGTTTCCAAACCCCCTCTAACAGTGTGAAACGTGTGCAACTGCCCGTTTCCCTAACTCTTCCCCACAACTCTAAAATGGAAACTACAAGAACTATGAGGCACACATCAGTTAACTCATACTTGTTGGAGGCATGGAAAACAAACTAACTAGAAACAAGTTATATAACTACCTATCTTTAAAATGAATGGTCAGTTCTGGGTATTAGGATAGATCCTTAGTGTAAAGCCATTAAAATTATTTTTATAATTTGGGCAAATGAAAGCTTCACTTTAACTATACACTGGTGTAAGAAATTGGGCAAATACTGAAAACTGTTGATAATGGTTCTCCATGGCCATGACATACTAGATAATTTTCTATTCTTTATATATGTTACCCGAATAACTATTTTAAGTTTTAAAAAGGAAATATGAAAATACCATCCTTTGTGTTAGATCAGTTACTTTTCATAACAAAACTATAATGGAAATACTCTATTCCATTTTGTTGATTACAAGATTGAGGCTGCAAGTGGTTAAGTTACATCAGTTCTGACATGAGACCAGAGAAGTTCTTATTTTGTTTACAGTGGATATTGAGTAAGTCACTTAACCACTTTTAGCCTCAATCTTGTTATCATCAAAAAAGAGACAGAATATTTCCGTAACAGTTTTGTTATGAGAAGTAAGTGAGCTAACTCAAAGACGGCATTGGTACACTGTCAGTTACTATTAGCAATCAGGATCATTTTTTCTTCGTGTTATAAAGCTTTAGTCTCCTGAGAACTTTTTTCCATTTAGCCTGACTGAGCCCAGTATCTTATACTTAACAAATGATTAATAATTAGCACACACACATATACACACACAAATGACTTTACTTTAAAAAAAGTTTTAGATTCAGAGCAAAATTGTGCAGAAAGTTCAGAAAGTTCCCATATGCCTCTCTCCCAAGCACTAGTGTGGGCTCCCTGCTATCCCCTACCAGAGCTAACACAGAGAAAGGAAGGGATGTTCAAATTTCCCTCTTAAAAAAAATTTTTTTTTTTTTGTACCGGGGATCAAACTCAGGTCCTTGTGCTTGCATGGCAGGCGGCAGAACCACTGAGCTAAATCCCCAGCCCTCCCTCTTAAAATTTAAAATATAACTATTCAACTAACATATAAATAGTAGAAACTTGGGAAAAGGTTAATATAGTCTACAATAAAAATTACGTAGTATGGGGCCTGGGGATTTAGCCCAGTGGTTCAGTGGCCTGCCTTGCAAGCACAAGGACCCGAGTTCAACCCTGGTACCAAAAAGAAAAAAAAAATGGCATAGTATGTCATTGCCTGTAGAGAACCACTATCAACAACAGCATACTTGTTAACATCAGTATGCCTTCACTAACACATCATTATCAACTAAGTCCATGCTTCACTCTTGGTGTCTTACTTGCTATGGGTCTGCACAAATGTATAATGACATGTAACCACCATTCTAGTATCACACTAAACACCCTAAAAATCTTGCTGCCCTTCTATTTATTCCCCCTTCCCTTAATCTCCTGTCAAGATGGATATTCAATGTCCCCAGTTTTCTGCCTTCTACAGAATATGCATTTAAATTTCCTCTATCTTTTGATGGCTCAATAGCCCATGCGTTTTTTTTTTAGGCACAAAATAATTTGTCAGTGTCTAGATATACCACAGCTTATCTTTGTTCACCTACTGAAAAATGTTGGGTGTGTAGTTCTATGAATTATGAATAAAACTGCTATAAATACCCACATCCACCCCAAATTCATATTCCTCTGAGTAAATACCAAGGAGCATAATTACTGGACCATACAGTTAACAGTGTATCTTCAACAGAGAAGCCCTCAAAGTTAAGTCTTTAGAGTTCAGTTTTATCTGGAAAACTCCCAAACTTTCCTAACGTTTTAGACAAAAATCACAGGCTACAGCTGAAGTTTCAGACATTGAATAGCAGCAGTTTTCAATTTGGTTTTCACTGATGACCTCATGACTTCTAATAAAATTTTAAAAGAATCCACTTTAATTCATTACAATTTAAATACCACAGAGGTCATAAAGCACTTTCAGGGAAGGAGGGAAGAGGGTATAGAGAAAAAAAAGTAAGGAATTTTCAAAGGTGGGGGAAAAAATTCCAAGAACACTTCTTCAAAATTCCAAGAACGCTTCTTCAAAAAGAAGATAGAAGTTATTTCCCAAAATGCAAAATATGGGTACCATCATTTACTGGTATAAAGTAGAACAATTTCAGTAATTCATCCAAGAGTCACTGAACACTTACTATGTACAACAGGAGAAGGAAGGGGAAGGGGACGGTCATTCAAAGACTTGAGTCTCCCTGGGCTGCACAGAGATGCCCTGCAGTCTTTGGTCCCTATGTCCGAGTAGTGCTGGCGGATAGCACAGGCTCAGGTGCTACTTGCATTACTTTAGGCTCAGACCTGGGGAAAAGTGACACCTACAAGCCACTTGGGTGGTTTGGACACGTTCTGGTATTGGATCACTCCTAGTAAGGCCCAATTTACGAGTAAAAGAAGGAATCTGCGGTGATACAGTGATCGTATTTTTTAAATTTTATTTTAAAGCTCTGATTCTTATTGTGGTGTGCGAGTTGAAATATAAAGTGATCGCATTCTCTTTTTTTCTCAGCTCTGTGAAATCCTTCCAAATCCTGCCTCAAACGGTTAAGTCATTCTGTATGACCGAACAGCTTTTGGTGGATATTGTTGTTTGCAAAATATAAACCATAGCAAAGAAACAAACACACGTTCTCCTCAAAGAGGAGAAAGTTTACTGAGCGCTTCTACCTCTTGACTGAGTTATAAAACATACCTTTTCTGTGAGATCGAAACATCTCACTTTAAAAATCGGTAACAGATACCAATTTAAATGACAAATCAAATCCAGCCATGAGGATGATGAACTGTTAAATGAATAAGAAATTTTTTCTTTTAAATTCCTATTATAAGCTGGGCTTGGCAATGCACACCTATAATCCCAACCTCTGAGAGGCTGAGACAGGACAGGAGGGTAGCTAGTTCGAGCCCACTTCAGGAAATTTAACAGACTTAGCCAGATTCTGTCTCAAAATAAAAAAAATAAATAAATAAAAATAGGATTGAGGAAGAGGCTCAGTGCGAAGACCTTGGATTCAATTCTCAGTACCAGTAAAAATAGGTAAATAAACAATTATTTCATTAATGGGAAAGTGTGTGGAAAGGAATTCGCTTTTAATCCGGAAGAGGTGGGACACGGGACTTTTTTTTTTTTTTTCTTCAACAGGT